TTCATATTACCCTTATGTATCTGATAGTTAGGCTATACAAATTAAAATATGTCCAGTAAAAGAAAATATTATCTGCCCAACACAAGAAAAGATATTTCCATTTTTGTGATTTTACAACATGGGGGCTATGGGGAATCTCCCCGACCTAGAAGTCACATTTTCAAAGAATTTTGAATTTTTAATGACTTAAATCAAGATTATTTCTACTCGCATCTAGGATATTGATATGAGGGAATTCAACCAATATGGCTTGATCACTGGTTATAATTATGACAGTACTATACCCCATTACTTTTAAATATATTCCAAGTGTTGTACTATACATTACATACATTCATGAGCAGTTTGCAACATATTATAACCAGAAAAGCCCAATGGACAAAGATAGAGAATACCCGCCCCATTTGCAACTCAACTTTAAATGTCTAATTTTTAGACTTGCATACTCATGAAGTTCCTGACACATCTGAAAAATATCAAATAATACATAGTATTGATCTAGAATAGCGACAACTTTGTTAAAGTCTATACTTTGAAATTGTTTGGTTTTTTATATTTCTGGTTATTTTTTCAAAATAAATGGGGTAGGGGAGATATGTAAGCTCTAATAGAATGACAGGCTTTCCAACATACATTTTTAAATACCTTAAATCAAAGAAGGCAGGCAAAAGAACAGATCTGATCAAGAATCCATCAACCAATCAGCATAAAACTCAAGATATAAGGAACTATATGTTATTGCTAAAAGTGGAAATGATGAAAAATGCCAAATTTTGTTCTTAAATGTCTAATTTCTTGACACTAGTATACTAATGAAGGTCCTGAAACATTAATTACAGCAATCAATAACACATAAAGAATAGTTACATCTTTGTTAAAGTTTATACTGGTAGTTTGAAGTTTTTTTTATATTTTCCAGTCATCTTCCCTAATAAATGGGGAAAAGGAGATCTGAAAGCTCTAATATGAACATTGTTTGTCCACTATATATTTTCAGTACCTTAAATGGAATAAGACATGTACAAGAACAGATTTAATCAAAAATGCATCAACCAGTCAGCATAAAACTCAAGATATGAGGATCTTTATATTACTGCTGAAAGCAGCATTGATTAAAAAATGCCAAGTTTTGCCCTTAAATATCTCATTTCTAGCCAATTGAATACCAATAAAAGTTCTGAAAAATCTTAAAAACATTAAATAACAGATAATATTGATAATAGAATAGCTACAACTTCATGAAAGTCTATAATTTCAAGTTATTTTATTTTTTCATATTTCTCGTTTATTTTCCATAATTGATGGGGTAGGGGAGATCTGAAAGCTCTAATATGAACATTATATGTCTACTATATATTTTCAGTACCTTAAATGGAATAAGACATGTACAAGAACAGATTTAATCAAAAATGCATCAACCAGTCAGCATAAAACTCAAGATATGAGGATCTATATATTACTGCTGAAAGCAGCATTGATTAAAAAATGCCAAGTTTTGCCCTTAAATATCTCATTTCTAGCCAATTGAATACCAATAAAAGTTCTGAAAAATCTTAAAAACATTAAATAACAGATAATATTGATAATAGAATAGCTACAACTTCATGAAAGTCTATAATTTCAAGTTATTTTATTTTTTCATATTTCTCGTTTATTTTCCATAATTGATGGGGTAGGGGAGATCTGAAAGCTCTAATATGAACATTATATGTCTACTATACATTTTCTATACCTTAAATGTAAGAAGACATGCACAAGAACAGATTTAATTGAAAATGCAACGATCATAAAAGCATAAAACTCAAGATATGAGGAATTATATATTACTGCTGAAAGCTAAAATGATAAAAAAAATGCCAAGTTTTGTCCTTAAATGTCTCATTTCTAGCCACTTGTATACAGAAATAGGTTCTGAAATATCTTTAAAACATTAAATAACACATAATATTGACATAGAATAGCTACAACTTTGTTAAAGTTTATAACTTTAAGTTATTTTATTTTTCCATATTTTTCTGTAATTTTCCATAATAAATGGGGTAGGGGAGATCTGAAAGCTCTCATACGAACATTGGTTGTCCACTATACATTTTCTATACCTTAAATGGAAGAACACATGTACAAGCACAGATTTAATCAAAAATGCAACAACCAGTCAGCATTAAACTCGAGATATAAGGAACTATATGTTAATGCTGAAAGCGAAAATGATTAAAAATGCCAAATTTTGTCCTTAAATGTCACATTTCTAGACACAAGTATACTAATGAAGGTCTTGAAACATCTGAGAAACCTTACATAACACAAAATATTGATATAGAATAGCTACAACTTTGTTTGAGTTGAACATTTTGACTTCTTGTAGTTTCCATTTTTAGCCAATTTTTTCTAAAAAATTCAAGGTATGTCTTCTTCGGACCAGTATTTAGATATGTTCGCAAGGGTAATATGCTTCGCAGGCGAAATATTTTATGCAGGACACCCTAATATAATAAAAAATACACAGAAATTCCATCCAGCTCATAAAGTCATTTTTTCCTTAACGGAGCCTCTTAGAAAGTTTTCCACCCCGAGTAAATCAGATCTCATTTTACCTTCAACCAGGAAGATTTGAAGAAATAATTATACGTTCAAAAGTCCATATTACAATAGAAATGATTCCATTGTGTTTTCAAGGATTGGCGAATAAAAGCACATAACTCAATACATTTGTATTCTTAAAAGACCGAGATTTTCTGCAAGGTCGTGCATTTTGAGTCACAGGGTAACCAGTTTTTTACTTGTTTACGGAAAGTACTGGGATATTACTTTAAAAAATTATGAATCCCTTAAAGAAATTAAAAATTATGGGAAACGATAAGACGTTTTCCAAATACTCTTGAACCTGAATTAAAAAAGCTTTCTACTGTAAAATAAAGTTCAAATGTTACCATTATCACTGGTCCCCACCTGGTAAAAATACGTTACGTCCATATAACAAAATGGATGAACTTCCGTCAGTGGAAATTCAAGGAAATCGTTATTTTCATCATTTTCGCCAAGAACGAGGTCGATTAATATTCGTATATGTTACCAGTTTGTTACTATATCTAGTAACATCAGGGACCAGTTATTTTAGCAATGTTTGCAGTTGTCAGTTTGAGATATGTAAGTGTGGTCTAAAAAAGTGAACCCTTGCAATAAGCTATATCTCAGTTTAGTTTAATAATAGTTTATTTCTGTGTCACAGGTTTACTAAAATATTACAAGTAAAATACATGTATTAAAAACCCAACAGCCGACATCGGCTTACGAGACACCATATAAATATACAAAGATAGTCAATAGAAAAATATAGCATCGGTATGCGTATGTCGAATAATATCACAGAGGATGTAGAGTAAGTTTGCAGAGTGTGAACAATTCACAGACAAAATGACTAGAGTTAAATAACATACAATATAAACATGTGATTTCAAAATGCAATAAATGAGAATACAGTAATTATAACTTTGGTTGATAATATTGCACATATTTAATATCACAAACGTTCCAGGTTAAATAAACGTTTTGAGAACATTTTGTAAAGAGTAGCAGCAAGGCAGCTTTGAATGTTCTTTGCATGTAGTAATGTGATCATAATTAAGGTTGGATTGGCACTTGAAGTATTAAAATAAGGTACTTTAACTTTGGCTTCCTGATACAACATGTCTCTTAATTCTGTATAATGTGAACATTTAACAAGAAAATGTAATTCATCTTCAACTTCATTTGAGTCACACAGTTTACACTTCCTTTCCAATAAAGGTGTGTTATTATACCTTTGTGTCTCAACATTAAGTTGAAGGGACCCAGTTCAGTTATTATTTGCATCCATGGGCTAATATTAACTCACATGTTTTTTTTGTGGGTACCATGAAGGTCACTCAGTTTTAAGTCTTGAAAAAGTCATATGGCCTCAACAGACATAATGGGTGATATGTCCAATCCATGCTCCACAGTTCTGGAAAACTGCTGTAATCCGAAAGCTGTTTACTGCTCAAAAAACATTAGATACAGACAATCCACATGGAACCTATGCCTCGAGAATCCACCTAGTGAAACCCACATGGATGCCATGCAAAATGCGCTTGGATTTTAGGCACGTTGGTCGACTTGAAATTGGGTAGGGTTTTCCATGTTTATCCACATAGAATCCTTGCGAAATATCCCTGTTGAAACGTGTGACTGACAATAATGTAGATCCATGTGGATCAAATTCACGTGAAAATAGTGTGGATTGTATGTGGAATCTACGTTGATTATCTGTCACATATATCCAAGGGGATTCCATGTGGATCGTATAGGGGGTGTAGAACAATTTTTCTTTCCTTAAAATAAAGAAAAATGCATTAGAATTACAAAACACCCCTGCATATGCTGGGACGAGCAGTAGACAACTTCAACATTCGCATTGCAGCAGTTATCCAGAACCATGGAGCATTGATTGAGCACATCATTCATAATCAGACGTGTCTGTTGATGCCATGCAACTTCTGCAAGACTAGAATTAGTGACCTTTATGGTACTCACAAAAACGTTACACTTTTCTCTAAAATATGTGAGAATATCAGCCCATTAATGCAAGTAATAGCTGATAGCTTGTTGCAAAATATCACTTTTTCGGACAACCCTGTATTTTTCTTCTTAAAAGTTTTACAAATCAAAGGGGGCAATGAGGTCATAAACATATTTTTTAAATATAGTTCGGAGTAATGATTTTTATGCCCATATACGAAAACATTTTGAAAGACATTTCGGAGAAATGATTTTTATGCCCATATCAAGAAAAAGTATTGAAGGGTATTTCTGAGAAATAATGAATGATTACATTATGTCCATTTGGAGAAAATGTTTTTGAACAAAGCGGGCGCCTGGTTATGAAAGACGCGCATTTAAAATACATTGCCAGACGACAAATTAAGACGAGAACCAAAACTGCAACAGAGACCAAGACAGGAAATTTTGTTAAACGATAATATTCTTCTATCAAAATGTTTCCAGATAAGATTTTGAGCGAGAAGAAAGAGACACCTGGTGCCATAGTGACGCAGGTAACAATAACAATATCTTAATTTTGACTTCTAGAGCTCGGTGTTACTTTTATTACTTGATTTTAATTATAAATTGTCAGGTGAATTATCATAAATAACTAATTATATTTAGATGTCCCCCGAGGCGACAGTGTCGACATCTAAGGGTGGACTGACAAAGAAACATGTACTGATTGCCATAACAACTGTGCTGGTTACACTTCTGATTGTTGGTGGAATTGTAGCTGTTACTCATGAGATGAAAGAGCGCGACATGGAATTCATTAAGGTAAAAGAAACTATCTCAATCCGAATCCGAACTTTACAACCATTCTTATTTTCCATTCGTCCGTTTTTATTATCAACGTTTTTGTGAAAGGATTGGTATCGATATGTTGTTAAGTAGTTCTAGGTCTCTTGGCTCGGGATTAGCATAAATATGGTTCTTCAAGTTACCCCAGACTTTTCCTCTGTCAGATCATGGATTTCAAATGATTAGAAGTCCATGGTCAGATCTGTTGAATAGAGAGGGTCTCACAATATCTCTATTTAGAGAGATTAGACGTTGAAGAAACTGCTTTCATGGGAAGTCTTGTGTGGCCCTTGCTGTATGTGAAGGGGCTCAATCTTTTTGAGATTACAGTGTTCTCATTTGGATATTAATCAGTCTCCATAACTCTGAAGGTGGAATTCCATTATCAACTGCTAAATCATTAATGATTGACCTTGTTCTCTGTGATTGTTTTGTCGTTTTCACCATCGAACTTCTTTGTCTGGGGCTATTTGAAGGATCATTTTAAAGCTTATCCCAAGACAAAAGACCTCGAACAACGTAAGGCCAACATCCAATGAGAAATTCAAAACATTCCACCAGAACCATTATCAAATGTTATGAACAATGTAGCATAAAGATGCTGGTTGTCATCGAAATATGAAATAAAAAGTAAAGGGTTAAACTATCAAAAAGGTTAGACTGAACAAAAAACTGTGTAGCTGTGCTGTTGATATACTTTTGGGTACATCTTTTGAGACACCCTGTCTTTGTTGTGATGTAATCTGCAGAAGGAGATCACTTTTTGTTTTTTCTAAAGTGTATTGCCACTGTTTCTGAATTATAAATGCCAGAAATGTCGACATTAAAAAATTAAAACAAGAGGTTTGAAAAAATGTTGAGTAAAAAATCGAAACCATCGAATATCACTTTTTAAGAATAAGAAGGTGGTATTCGATGGATTGTGGACTTTTTGTCAAAATATGATATCCTGATCTACATATCAAATATATCTTAAAACGACACATCAGCTCATCCTGTAATTTCAGAGCTTCAAATTCAGAGATACAAATGGCAAAGACAACGAGGAGACGGTGAATGTTAACGCAAAGGAAAGCACCACAGAAATGAAAGTAACTACTGAGGGAGAAGATGACTTCTCGCTACTCAATGATTTTAAGAAAGTAAGTTTTAAGCTCATGTACTTTAATATTAGATATTACTATTGAGAATCTTGTTGTGAAAATATCATTCATTAGTTACATTAATTGTCGTAGTTAAAGGGGCAACAAGGCCTGTAGAGAGAAATTTCGAAAAAATGAAAAATAAAAAAATGAAAAGGAAAGTAATAAAAATAAAATAATTACTATACATATTGATACCATACGTATGCATCTAACGTATGGCTGTAGTGGTGGTGGGCCGTGACTACCAATGTGTGTTAACTCTATTTCGGTTTAGGAAAATGTATGGAAAGGTAGATGAGGTATACAGTATGGAATTTATATTTCAGCTATTAAGTGTTTCTTTCCGGTCATTTTGAATTGAAGTAAAGAAGGCAAAAATCTGACATTATCTGAGATAGAATTCCAGATTTTTGGACCCTGTACTTTGATTGAATATAACCTTATTTTTGTTTTGTAAGCTCTAGCATGTAAATCATGACTCCTTCTGGTAGGATAATTGTGAAAATATTCATTTTGATTAAATTAATCATTCCTGATTCCTGGTAAATACATCAATAGACAAAATTTGAAACATTAAATTCATACACTTCATTCATATTTCCGAATTCCATCTTCAAAAAGTTATTACTTGTATTAGGGCATTACCGTCTACAAGATGACGATAGATGGCGAGCCTAGATGTGCAGTGACACCTATGAACAAGACGGCGACTCTTTCCCCTGAAACATTAGAGGCCTACTTGGAAACACATCCAGTAAGTACATTAAGATTATTCGGAAAATCACTTTCGCTTGTTTGAGGTGACATAGTCATAGTTAGTGTCCGTATTTCATCCTGCTAAATATCTTTAGTGAACTACTAGTCAGGGCTTACTGAATAAAAAAGATTAATGAATTTTCTAAAGTATTTGAACCTACCTATCATTACCTGTAATTAGATGCATCCATTGTCCGTGATATAAGTTTCACCTAGTCTGTGTTGAGGAATTCTACGGCTATGTAAGTCGTATATAACCCTTACGTTTTCAGCACCCTGAAATGGTTGATGAGAAAAGCGTTAGTCATGTAAAATACGAGATGGCCGAGGAGAAGATCGAGGACACTGATTTCCTTGGATTCCGTATCAACGCAATGTGTGAGGGACATGACATCTATTGGTTGTACCCAAAAACGGAGGACGAAGAAATGAAAAATGTCACATCACAAGGTAAATGAATGTTTTAATGTAAAGTTCTTCAAGTATGAAAATAGCACATATTCTGATATTACAAGGTAACTCGTTGGTAGCATGAGATTTTCTTAGACAACAACAATGTGAAAAATTAAGAAAAAGAGGCAAGACGTTTAAAGGTATATTACTTAATTGCTATCTTTGACAGTCATGATTCATGAAGATGAAACCAGAGATTTAAGATTGAGCCTCGACTCATTATGCATTACTCATTCCCTCCACTTTAAATGGCATCATAATCTTGCAGTTGGACGGGAGAAACGAGCTGCAGGCTGGCCTGCTCGCCTCTGTGGACAAGCCATGGTTCATTATTTCGGTATTTCTCGAAGCCAGTACCTGTGCAGAAAATATGCTGCGCTCCGAAACACGTGCCGTGTTGATTGTTGCAGCCGGATCTACTCGAGAGGAATGTGGCAGGCTGGAAGGTGGGTTCTGAACTGGTTTGGAGTTCGACCTTGTGTCACTTTCAGTCGTTACAGATGTACCAATTGCCTCATATAAGTGCAGTGACATGGACTCGTGGAACAATAGGGGACTATGGCTTTTAGTTTTAATTACATCTTTGACTTCTAAGGTGTTTATAACAGTTGGAACTAATGTACATATACTAACCTTGTCACACCACTATTAATGACATGGACACGATTGACGCTCTCCAAACACTGATTGGTACATTTAATGTTCGACTTGTATATTCATGAAGTATTATGTTAAAACGTGTTTAAAACAAACATATAGTTTGAGTTTTCGATTTATTCAATTTATTTTATTATTCATTCAGTTTTCAATTTATTCGATTTATTCAATCTTCATCGGGTAGACTGAACCTTCATTTACAATAAGACATCACATTATACAGGTACGGGTAAAATTTGAATTACAAAACTCAATAATGCTCCTAACCACTGTTACAATTGTAATTATACATTAATGCTGTTATTAAGTAACTCAAATGATTTGTTCATAAATATGATTATGTATACTGTCTGGTTTCATTCATATCTATATAATCAGAATATATATCACTGTTCAACGGCTGGATGACTCTAACTGCAGTTTGTATCATTCAAGATGGTGGCCAAAATTATTGCAGTTAGAGTCATCCAGCTTTGGACAGTGTGTTACAGTCACGTATGCCTCACAACTTATAGTGTAACATTTTTCTAAAAGCTTTTGTAAATAGAAGTTATTCAAACTTGGATATATTTTACATATATTTATTTGGCCTTTTGCCTTTTTAAAGAAAACCTTTAAAGAAATTTGAGATTTGAAATAAAGCTTCATGACGCAACTCTAGTCTTGCATCTCATCCTCGTCCATATTTTCTCAGACACAAGCTATGGAAAAGGTGAAGAGGGCCCAGCTAAATTTAAGTATAAAATGAATTCCACTGAAGACGAATGACAGAGAGGCGATGCAAGACTATTGGGCTAATGAGATTTTAGATTGTTATTTATATACATTGCCCGTTAGGCATTGTGATATTTGATATTGTTGTATATCTATGTAACCTTACTTTATTGGAACTATTAATAAACGCTTATAATCAGAAAATATTTATGCTGTTCTTACGTTCAATACGTTACGTGACAGATTTCTTGGAAGTTTTTAAGTACGAGTTAGTTAAGGGAATTAGTGATAAGGGGGATTATTTTATAAAGAATAGTTTAGATTAAGTAATAGACTGCACTGAAAAGGGCTTCAACTCGTTTTGCATACCTTCTTGCCTTATTTACTCTGAAACTTTGAAAAGAAGTTATTCACCAAGAGGGATTTGATATAGGGAATATCACAAGGATGATATCAATATTTCCCAAGGGAACGCAGTGACCGAGGAAATACTGATATCATCCAAGGGGTATATTCTTTGTACATTGAGTTGGCTTTTGGGCTATTACTTGGTCTTTTAGGACCTTATTTTTTAATTTTAAGGCCAAGTTACCAATAATGGTCCTTAAATTTTTCAATTGTTGGGCCAATTTTGGATTTAAAGAATAGGTATCGATATGGCGAACTTTTTGAACACACGTTTCTCTAAAACCAGTCATCAGAAATTTCTGAAAATCTTACAAATTGTCAATGTAATGGCCATCTTTTGAATGGTAACAATATAATTTGAAATAGATATACATACTTTTATCTATATTGTTTTAAAAAACACATCAAACACTTGTTTTGTTCTTGGTATCATGTTTCCAGAGTGAAATGAAACATTTTTCCGAACCTCATTGGAACAAAACGACATAAACACAACATGTTTAGGTCTCTCAATATTGTAATTGTACAAAGGAAATTTTGGTTGATTTTAAAAAAGTATCTTGTTAATGAAGTAAAAGTTTTTTCTTGATTTTTATCTATTTCTTGTGGGGATTTTGTTTTAATTTTTTGAATACTTTTTTAAAATCAACCAAAAATTCCTTTGAGAGGTCTAAAAACATGTTGTATACGCTATTTTGTTCCAACAAGGTTCGGAAAGACATTTTATTTCATTCTCAAGAATTGGTAGAAAGGAGCAAAAACAATTGCACTAAAAAATGTTAACAAAAACAGTTCTATAAAATATTTCTAAATAATTTTCGCATTAAATAGTTGTCAATCAGTCAACATTACATAAAATACCATGTTTTTTACAGAATGTTTTCAATGATTGGTTTAAGAGAAAAACATTGTTGAATTCAGTTCTCCATATCGATACGTATCCTTTGCAAACTTGAAAGGGTCTAGTGCACTTTCCATTATGATTTCCCCAGGAACAAAATGAATCATTTTTAGGTGTAACATAAAGACTACAATGTCCCATAATACCGTGGAAAATATTTAAGCGTTTGGACCCACATTGGTTGAGGTTGAGGTCATTAAGTTCAGCAAGGGTGTATTGATTTGCCATTGGATGTGCTCCATTGACTTAACATGTGGATATCATCAGATTCCTACAAAATGGCTATAGAAAAATGCTTCAAAAGCAACTTTTACACTTATCAAATCCCATACAACTTTGTAAATCCAAAGATTATACTGTTATGTTTTATTAATTGATAACATATTTGGATAAGATGTACGGGATACTAGAGTATCCGCGTATATTGAGTATGACCGGTTCTTAGGCTACGAATATGACCTGTTTTGGAAAGTCATGAGAGGCACAGCTGCTTAAAAATGGAAAATAAAGGTTAACTTCTATATTATCCTTTTTGAAATTGTGTTTGTTGAATATAGTTTATGCTGTATTTAATAGTAATGTAACAAAAAAATGTTAAACATGAGCTATTTTAGCAATGTAACTGTTCATAATGGAATATCAATCAAGAAGTACAGATTTCTCGCCTTAGAGCCAAATCATTAATATCACAGTAGAAAAAAACAAATCCCAAACCTTTTTATGGCTAACCTGAACAAGATCTCCAAATCTCAGTTTATATGATCCCCCGTAGAGTGAGCAAGAGAAGGATTTATCTTTTCCCAGAGGATACGCTTGTGAAATGTCAGGGAAACGAGTGTAACACGGCCCACTGATTGATGTGATCGGAATGTTACCGGTGTAGAATACGAGTACACTGGTGATCCACTCGATTACGCTGGTTACCAAAACGGTTCGTTTTGGTAACAAAATGTCGGAACATCCGGAAGATACGATTTTTCTCGTTTCCTTATTTTACACGTTGTAGGCAGAATTCCCACGACATTTTTTAACACAAACGTGTATCAGTATCCTATGTTTAAAAAAGTGTACATACTTGCGAACAAATAGTTCAGAAGACAACAGAATCGTCGATTTACTTCGTCACTTAAGTTACATAAACGGTTTGGGTTAAAAGTGCAGATCTTAACTGTTTTTCGAAAAACCGTTTATGTAACTTAAGTGAGGAAGTAAATCGACGATTCTGTTGCCCTCTGAGCTAATTTTTCGCAAACATGTATATTTTCTAAAACATATGATACTGATGCACGTTGTGAGAAAAAACGTCGTGGGGATTCTGCCTACAACGCGTGAAATAAGGAAAAAAGAAAAATCGTGCCTTCGACGTTCCGACATTTTGTTACCAAAACGGTTCGTTTTGGTAACCAGCGTAATCGAGTGGATCACCAGTGGAGTGTATGCGGTGCATGATAGGAATTTATCCGAATGTGAGCGGTGTACAATACGAGTGTATGCGGTGCATGAGACGAATTTATCCGGTACAGGATTACAGCATACCCAACAATTCTCCAATGTTTATATTTTCAAATACATGATAAACTTTTCTTTCCATACATTGTAATGTATTGGTATAAAACCTGTCTTATTATATTACTGAAATTCGATAAAAAATGTTCTAAAAGCATATTTTGCCATTACTTTCGCCAACATTCTGAAATCGGGTCAACTGATTTAACCACAAATCTACAAAAGGTCTGAAATGGGACAACATAATTATAATCAAACAAGGCTATTGTTTTCGGTCTACGTTTAACTGAATTATTTTGGAAAAAATAGGCTCTTGACACTATAAGTCATCTACTCTTATTTAGTTCTTCCAACTTTATATTGGAGACCTACTGCAAGCGTCTGAAGAGCCTCAACATTCTGGTATTTCGAATTACCTTTTGCATCTGTCACCGCTAAAAGTCGTATCCAAACACCGGTTAAATGCCGATCCAAGACATTTCACAACCGTATTCTCCAATAATGGGGCACCAGTGACATTCGTATTCTCAAAAATTCAAAGATGTATCATATTTGGACAGAGCAGGCTAAATTATTTAAAATATTCATGACTAATTCGTAGATCTAGCTATATATTATACATAAGATGTGTCATCCTCTTCGGAGTTGTGTTGTGTTACACAAAAACTGATCAAAGATGCTGGAAACTAGGATTTTACGGCTTCAATCTAATATTAATACGTTTTCTCTTGATTAAGGCCCCTTGTGATATGCCTGGCATTATAAGTATACCAAGTATCATCCATTGACCAAGTAGGATAAAAAGAAAACGTTCGAAAGTGTTCATAAAAAGCAAGTACTCACCTCGTCTGTTTATAGGAACAGAAATACGGTCACACTCGTAAGCTTAGAACCGGTCATACTCAATATACGCGGATACTCTAGTTACCCGTGTGTAGGGATGTGTAGGATGCAAATGGATTTTTGACAGACACAAAAAGACTTCCTGGTTTGGCATCTCTACCCCTGTACACTTTATGATTGAATATTGGCCCTAATAAGTGGCCCATTCATCAATACAGTGCTGAATATAAGTCAACAAGATACTAGTGTACATATAAATGTAATAATAAAAGCAGTATATTTATTTTGAAAAATCAGATGAATTTATTTTTGTTCATGGGGAGATCACAATGGAGGGTGCACTAGATCCTTTGCCTTCCCCCTTGTTGGCTTCTGGACCCGCCAGTGGGACTCATGTAATCTTCCATATTTCTCCTCGGTTTTTGCCCCTGTTACTTTTTCCTGATGTTAAAGCAGTTTTCCAATCATTCTCAAGCTATTCACCTCAATTCATTCGATGGATTGTTTAGATATTCGAAGTTTGGCTTCCCTATGTAAAGCGAACTAGTAACTAAAATGGCAGTGAAATTGTAACGTCAAATATAACCTTGCAAAAGACATTTTCATTTACACTTTTGGTGTCTGTTAACCTTTCTAATCAAAATAAGCCAGATGGAATACTATAGAAATCCAAGGATTAATTCTTGAGTAGAATAGTAATACTGCATCTTAATTCAGAGAAAATATTGTTGTAATCCATGGCTGATTAAAAAAGGTAAAACAAATGAAAATGGAGACGTTTTTGGCCTACCCTGTATTTATTGAGAAACATATTTTATTATTTGTTGAGTATTCAATATTATATTGATTGTGCCAAGTTTCTGTTTTATATACTATCTCTACACGTATATGTCTTTGGGTATTTCAGCAGTTTGATGGTATTACATTCTCCCTCATCCAGCATGTCCTTCGGTTAACTACTATCGCCTCTCGTACACCTCAAATTGATACTCCACACCATTTTCCTTTATCAGATCAGATGGTACTTCAGGGAGACTGAAATAAACATTGAGAATACACATGAATTACATTCTACAGGCACTGGTCCGACTATGTTACTATACTAATTATCAAGACATTAAACATGATTTCAGTATGGATAATTTGCGATGTCCGATCTATAACTTTTCCATTTTCTTATATTTTCCCATTTATCTCACGCTTTCATTTTGTCTCTTCTAATTAGATGACTTCTTCATCATTATTCTTCATTCCTATCCTCTTAAAGGTATCTATTACTCATCCCTTTCTTATTCGTTCTAACCCTTCCTGGCCGCTCCCTTTTTGTGCACTCATCTTTCCCAGTCTTCCCCTGGCTCCCTTGTTCCCTCCCCCTAGTTCCTTTCTCTCTCAATTGCTCCCACCCTCCTTTCCTGTATTCCTTTGTTCAAATTATTCACCGTGCCCTCTTCAACATGCATATTCTTCTTGGTTTCTTACTCTATTTTCTTGTATATGGATGGTTCCAGGCAGTCAATTGGGAAGAATGCATCTGCCTCGGCTTTGTGAAATATCCTCGTCAAGTGTACCCTGTGACAAAGCGGACTCTGGAGAGCTCTCTGAATAAACAACGCCAGTAAATAATTCAAAGGCGGGCATTCATATTCTGTCTGTCTCTTTAAAATCAGAAATTAGAATGTCCTAGAGTTAGTAGGTCAAATAATAGCAACACAGGATCCATTTAGAGCCCTTCAATGGCGTATACGTATATGTGTACATGGTTTGACAAAACTGTTATGTCGTAACAGCATCAAAACTTGCTTTTACAAAGAATACCTTGTATACGCTATATCCACCCATCACCCAGATTGATTCTGCATTTGCATATTCACTGGCATACTCTATGGCAGCATCAAAAGATGGAGCAATGAAACCAACACCTTTGGGGCATTCTCTACAAAATTAAAATTTTGAATTGATCGAAATTCTGCGTAGTGGATCTACTACATGCAGACAAAGTCTTTATCACGGTTGGTCTAATGGTATTTGGGCATATACGAGTATTCAGTTACCTATTTTGCCATTATTAAAATGACTGGTTTTCTCTTTCTGATGGGACAACACGTGAAAAAAACATGTCCAGATCAACACTTTTTGTCCAGATAAACAGGGTGTCTCAAATTCTTTGACATTTCACATGAATACTAGGAAATAGTCATGTTCAGATCATAGTCTTACTTTAATGTTGAACTTATGACGACGTTGTGTCTCAACGGATTCATCCTCTCTTGTTCCCCACTAGATTCAAACGTCAATCTGCCCTTCATGTTGATGCAAACATTTCCTGTAATTTAACATGAAGAGTGGAAAATACATAGGCCCTTAAGGTCAGAACTCAGAACCTTGTACATTGGTAGATTAAATATAGTTTTTGATCCTAAAAATTGGACATTTCTATATCTTAAAACTTCGATTATAACATCATCATGCTTTTTGAGATCATAAAAATGTATGATGTAAGGGAACCATATTTTTTTAAAGTATAGCTTCCAACAATTTACCCTATACCTTCCAAATTCGAATTCTTCAGGCATTTTCTCTCATTATGCTATTAAGATTATCATTTGGTAGAAAGAAACCTGCATCATGTATTGGTCATCTTCATGAAGTCATAGGCTGTAGACAACTCCAAAATAACAAGTATGATTAACTTCATCGAGAGGTCAAGCTACAAGTTTTAAGAAAACGTATACGTGAAAGTATAATATTATGAACATCGGTGATTATTCTCTTCCTTATCAAATTTGTTTTTCAGGGACCCCTTGAGTTTTTATTCCTTGTCTTGACCCGTCCCCCCATACTTGTATTTCGGGAGATACTACACTATGATTGGGAGAACTAATACCCAGTCTTCTTAAATACGTGTAGCTAAACTCTGCACTGCATAACTAATTTTTAGATATCACTTGGTAATGGTACAATACATACAACCGATGACATCATGAATCTGGCTTCCACAGCTTCTCTGATGCAGCAAAATGTCGAGTGGTTTTAATATTATTGAATATTTATCTCACAAGCCTACCTGGTTTTGTTACCCTTTGTGTCAACCCAGTGTAATATTCATAGTCTGTCCTAGGGAAAACAAAAGAAAAACATACATAAAAAAATATCAGAGTGTAAAAATGTTGTCGAGTTTTGTTGTTGAACTCTTTTGACTTTCTCAGAAAGTTATTTTGTGATGTAATTTACGATTTGTACTTTGTTCAATCAGAGACATATAAAATGTTTTATAGGTCTCTGGTTCAATGATGTAAAGATATTAGAAGACATTAGAACATTGCTGTTCTAAGGGTATTAGTACTAGTTAAGGTGCCATGGAAGTTAACAGGAAATGACAAAACAAAAAATGCCAAAGCCATGCTGGATTTTGAAAATTTTTTGAACCAAGATAACAGAGTTCTTTTTGGACCTCCGGTCAGTTTAACTAGTTCCACATATCATTTACATGACCGGGAACACAATGGAAATGGTCAGAATGACCATAAACATCATGATAACCTTTTCAGCCCTCTGAAAATTTGACTGAAAAATAGCTAAAAGTAGGTGCTCAGGAAAGGTCTATGAACAGAGGAAAATAGATCAATTTTCAATTCATTTTTTTCTTTTTCTAAGAATGATATCATTTTTTTAAAAATTGAATCATTTAGAGCAATATATTGGGCACATTTTCTGAAAAAGTCAAAAGATTCTGTTCAGTCAAAACAGAACTCTGTTTTCTTTGTTCAAAAAATTTTGAAAATCCAGCATGGGTTTGTCACTTTTTGTTTTGTCATTTCCTGTTAACTTCGATGGCACCTTAAGAAGGCTTATATGCACTGTGATGTAAATGTTTTTTTGGAATGGCTCCTTTCTATGTATATTTTCTAAGTTTAGTTATTGGCTCACTTAATGTTTGGTTTAATCGTACGATTATATTATTGTCACCTGATTTTGGGCCATGGAAGTTGATTGTTGATCCCTATACCATTGTTGTGATCCATCATTGCAACTATGACATTAATTTTTACCCCATCATTGGCTCTGGCGTCACCCTTCATTGTTGCAGTGTTGGCGCTGTTCCTCCGTTCGTAGAAAGGGTGTAGTATCAGCAGTGGTATTCTATCTAGTCATGTTATTTTCAGATTCACTGAAATGAAGCATGAAGGCGTCATTGTATTTATTTTGATGCTTTCCAATGTGTCATAATCTACTAAACTCAGTATATTGGTCTGGGTCAGTCATTCATAAATATGTTGAAATCATACTGAATTATAAAAGTAAATTAAATCTTTAATTTTCTGAACATACGAAACTACCTTAAATGTTTTCATTCTTAAATTTGATTATTCGAACATAAAACATGTGACCCTGAACATTTAGCTTCAATACAGTCTTAATAGTTATTCTATTCATACTAGGCAAGATATAATTACTACGTGTCATATAAACTTGACTTTTTAACACTACTCGAATACAGGAACCTTATGATTACAGGTGACACTAGTAGAGGTGAACAGTGAGACTGCTCAGGATCGATTCAGAGTGTTTGAACAAACATCTAGTCGCTATTAATCAGCTAATGATCATGAGTGTGGAATAGTAACTTACCACCTTGCAGCTAATGGCTGGATGAGTATATTGCAATGATCGCAGTAGTGTCAATGTGGAATGTGTCATCTTCTACATGTCGCGTACCATCTTTATCGTAGCAATAAACTATATCTACCTTCACTTATGAAAAACTGGTGAACTTATGATGTACACATAAAGAAAGTACATACTTACCCATTCACATTCACCTATTCACTATGTCAATAACATGGGGCCAAGTTGATAGCAAGGTCTATATAGAAGATCAATATATTTTTACTTTAGTGACATCTTTATACCTTAGAATGTGTTATTTGGAGCACTCGAATCACAACGATCATCTGCAGGGTACTATTGCAAAATAGTTGCACATATCAGTCTAGATGAATGAACGTGCAACGGCGAAAAGCTGAAACAACCGTTCACAAATATTTACGTTGAACGTCACATTTTCAACGTACAATTAAAGCCACCCTCAGTCTCCCTTTTGAAATAACATCAAATTAATCTACATCCCATCGGGACACATAATTGCTTTTGTTTCTACATTTCATGTTGCCCATCGTTAAGCAAACATTGCGTAATAACGCCGTTTCCATCATTACTAATTGTGATCAAATTCGAATCACTTGGAAAAGATGCATTTGCGGCAATGATACCAATAAAACAGTCCAATCGAATGCACCAAGTGTAAATATTTTATGAACGAGATCAACCACATTCATTTTCTTTTTTCATCAGTTGATGATCTTAACTTTGATGTTTGCTTATTAAAGATTAAAACGAGACGCCTTAAATGAGACAAATGCATGTTAAAGTCGCTTCCCAATCAATCCTCACACTGTTTACGTTTCTCGAAGGTAGCCCTAGCAACCCATCTTTATACCGCCAGGATTAATCAGATGAAAAATGGAACTTTCGTGTAAACTATGAATGATTTAGATTATAGGTTTCAATAGGTAGCACGAGACTACAATTCGAGGTTTTTAACGTTGTCATGGATGAATACCCAATTTTTAAAGAAACAAAATGCAGGTTGAAATTCAATTAGCTGGATATCTATGTTTAGTTTCTGTTCTTAATGTTAATGGGTTTATTGTACGTAATGCTTCGTCGCCGGACTGGGATCTGGATAATATTGAACTGAGTGATGATGCCAATATGATAAGCGGTGTGAGATTTGAAGAAAGTGGCGAGGTTGAAATTGCCCACGCTAAGATGGATTCCAGTGAAGGTAACGATGTCATTATACATAATTATAGATATACACATTCCCCTTCACAAGTTTTTTTATATTTGTAGATTTGCATTGAGACGGGGCAGTTAGTTTGAAACTCTGTCACTACCAATGAACCAATTTGTATGAAGCTCATACAGGTTCAAGGAAACTAACTGCCCCGTCTCGTTTTAAAGTTTGAGCATCCAACTCCTCTTATTATAAAATCAAGAGCCAACGGTAACAAACCTTCTGATCGACCCTTGTACATTGCTGACTTCAGAAAAACGTCAAATTAAGTTTTATGAATTACAACTGTAAAAGAAAATTTTCTTAATCAAACTTGGCAATGTTTGCAATCTAGACTTATTTCATGCATATAACTTATTTCATATTTATTGAAATTGACCACTTCCTTAAATAATTGTAATTAAATGTTTTTCAAGAATTATTGAAAAATAGAGAAAAAGTCAGATTTCGCCCAAAACTATTTCTCAAATTATCTGAAAGTGAGAACATTTGATCCTTTGTAAATCAAATGATCCATTGAAAATGTAAGAGATTAGAAATAGTTTGTGGACACAAAGTTTAACATTATTTCATATATATGAAATGATAAAAACATATAAATTAGATTAAAAATCAACATTTTCACCGAGGTAATAAAAACACGACGCAATTTTGAAGTATCTACAGTCTAATTGAAATATACAAGAAGTCGTTTCTTGTTCTCTTAATCTGATGTCTATCACATTTCAGCGAATATGACAACGAGGGAGTTTAGGTTGCCAAAGAACAGGAAATATGAAAGAATAGCAATCGGAAGACAAAAGAGAAATATTCATTTTACTCCCGATGAGATTGGTTGGCAGGATTCTTTGGAGATTACCATAGATGAAAACTTTAGTGAGTTGTAACTGCATAATGGGAGTAACATACCACACTGGCGGATCTAGTGGGGGGGGGGGGGCATTGGGCCAACAATTTTGTAGCGCCCTAAATAGTGGGCATTTTTGGACATTACTTGGCCTTTTGAGTCCTTTTTGGATTTAGGGGCCCAACAAATTTTCCGACTCACATTTGAAATTTGCCCCCCTTCCTTGTTAGCTTCTGGATCCACCTGTGTACCATGACATCATTCGTTCAAGTTAACATTGTTTTTCTATCTAAATACAGAAAGGTTCCAAAATTCAGTGTGAGTTATACACGACAGTAAAACCATGTATACAGTGAGTACCCTTGAAGCCATAAACAGTGTTCACTGTATGCATATACGTTATTACAAAGAGGGAATCTTATATATGAGTCGATGATACGTAGAATGTTTCTTGAAGTAGTGTTCACTTAATACAGGGTGTTCCCTAGAGAGAGGTGTTCACTAAGACAGGTTTACTGTAGCTCACTTTGCTTCTTGATTATTTAAAAGAGAACTTCATATGTATAAGTATACAGTTGTATTTACGAGGCCTCGACTCTCATGATAGTAAAGTATTTGTCCAGATTAATGTTGACCTCCATGTTTATTTACTTTTCAGCTATCTCTGTTCAAAACAGGAGTTCAATCCCGTTTCAGATTGATGCAAGTTTCGGTAAGCTAAAGTTCATGTATGATCTAAAAAGTTAAACGTTTTTCTCCAAATAATGATTTCGATTTTTAATTTCCACAAACAAACATACTATTTTCAAATGGAAACTTGCGATCTCTCTCCAGATCAAATCGAACGCGAGATGATCCGTGGCGCCCTCTATACTTGGTCTACCGAATCGTGTCTAAAGTTCGAAGAAATAATGGACCTACCGGAATTCTTTCTCACTCCAATGGCTGCAATTAGATTCCTCCCCGGAGATGATGGGTAAAAACGTACTTGAATATCAATTTGAATATATGCATCGCATAATTGATTAATGATTGATGTACCAAAATAGATAAATCATATGACATCACATAACTTTAAAGAGCACATTCAAATGTTAGTTTAGTATAACCAACATTGACGTCTCTAAAACGTTGATTGTCAACATTAGTTTGAAACAAAACAGCGGAATAATTCTGGTGAGATAATGTATTCGTAATTATCTGTTTCAGTTGTTCATCAACAATCGGAAGTGGTTCTGGGGCAGTTCCTAATAAAATATATCTGGAAAAAACACAATGTTTCGATGTAAGTTTTCTACATTAATTTGTAATTAATACAGTAGATGCTATGGAGATTCATTCTCCAACCGTGTTCCTGATAATTCTTATGATGATACTGGTGGTTTCAGTATCATATTATGTTCTCGTGGACATATACCAACGTATCATACAGATGAATGTTACGTGTCCATTCGATTCAGTTTCAAGAGTATGCCTTCAAGTAATGTTCATTTTAGGGATCGGGTGTTGATATAGTGAAACAAATTGGACACTCCCTTGGTTTCGCTCCCGAAGAGACAAGGCCCGATAGGGATAATTACGTTGTTATCTCGGATGAAAATATACGCTCAGAAGATGTACATAAACTAGAGAAAGAAAAGTTATACGAAACTTTGAATTTTGGCATTCATTACGATTTCGCATCTTTGTATCATAGCAAACTAGCGGTATGTGTATATTCTTGCTCTGTATGAAATAGATTCCGTTTGAAACACTACCAGGCCATATACAATATACAATGCATGTATATAGAACTTCATTTACACAGTTTCAATAAAAAGACGTCTGAATTATATATTCTTCTGTAATATTTTGGCAACCCCTGCCTCATGCCTAACTACGCCCTTGACACCCTATAGTTAAGTTCAGTAGAATAGTAGTGTATTAATACCTTATTTAGCAATATTCCACAAACAATAAAGAGACCATTACACCACTGGACAAAACGATGGTGGCAACAATCGGTCAAGATTCTTTGTCTTTCTGGGACATCAAAGCTGTAAACCTACACTTATGTTCAGGTAACTCTTAATTATGGTTACTCATAACTTTTTTCAGATAAAAAATATTTTATGGCTACTACGATGTTTTTTCTACGTCTCTTATTTAGATCATTATATAAGCCAATGAAGATGGGGATGTGTATATCTGAAGAGTAATCCATCCATTTCAAAACAACAAAGTGGATGTATCCATCAGTGATTATTTTGGAACTTTTAATCGAATAGTGTCTAATCACATGCTGTTTCTATTTAGATTCGTGTAAAGGTCATGTGACCCTTAAATGGTTACAGTGTCAACATGGTGGACACCGTGACCCAAGGTCATGTGACCAGTGCAAATGCCCGGATGGCTGGAGAGGAAACTATTGTGAACTTCTAGAAATATCAAAAGGAGGTATCAATCGTATCGTACGAATAAAATAATCATTTTGGGACATCATTTTCAGAATTGAGTTGGGAATATTTTTTGCTGATTATTCTTGCTTTAGATGTTTGTGGTGGTATTGTAACAGCCAATAGAGCTTTGAATTACATCAGCAGTCCTGGATATGGGGGGATTGGCTATTCTTTTGGACAAGAGTGTACTTGGTTAATATCTGTAAGTATTCTCTGCACATGAATTTGATCTTAGAGGAGGAGATAAGGAAATACCTAAGAATTCATACATCTTTACATGGAAAAATATTGTTAATTATTACAAAAGCGATCGATCGCCTTACCAGACTGTGAAAATGTAAATGTGACTCTTGATGGTTTATCATCTGACCCATTTGTTTTCATCTTGGATTTCC